CGGATCTCGCACAATAGACCCGTGAAGATTCCGGGGTAGAATAGGTCTTCAGCTACCTATGCTTGCCGTAAAAGGTGACTATGCTTGTTGTGAAAGGCGACTAACGGGATCGTGCGTGCGCGCGCGCGGCGGTTTGTACTAGTCCGGACTGATGCCGGATGTATTGTGCTAACTGAAATACCATGACGCAGTTTAACATGGATACTCCACTCAGACACAGTATACTGACGGACCAGTTCTTGTTTTATCCCCTTAATGCCAAAGTGCCAGGCATGGTAACAAGTACCATAAGTTTGGTATGACGAGATCGGGATTCGAACCACCGACCTTCCACATTCCGGGCAGGCGTTCTATCCACTAGACCAGGAAGGCAGTCCCAATGGGAGAAGGTTTCAATTACAATATTATTCACTGGTCCAAAATTGGAGTCCAAAATATCTTCACAGTTAATGTTTTTGGGTATCTATCAGTTCAAGATATTTCACTAATGAGTGTTTTTCTGGTCACAACAAATATAGTAAAGTCACTTACATGTATATAAGTACTAACACCATTTTAAATAATGTGTCTGTGTGTCAAGTTTGTAAATATATTACGTCTTGCCAGACGACAATCAGTCTCGATTTTCCACCAAAAACTGATTCCACCGGGCGTAAAAATAAAACAACTGTGACAACCCGACGAATGAAAATCAGTGATGACGCCATGTGTTCGCGAAAAGGGCAAACTTAAAAAAACAGTAACCAAATTCAGTTATTTTAGAATATGTCTAATCCTTCAGTATATTTTCCAGTCGGCGGTGGCCTCTTGTCTGAATAATATTTTACTGTCACGAAAACTGGTTCTGCTTGGGGGAACGTTATTCAAGTGATGCCATTTCTACTGATCAAAAGAATCATTGAAGCATTACTAATGTATGTATCTAACATAAAATGCGCTCTTCATGCCCCCGGTCGGCTATTTCATTTTCAATTTTCACTCCCAAATTAGATTTTCAATACAGGGTTTGATTTAAACGACGTTTGACTTGAACATATCATGTAAAATAAATGTAAAGTACCTCACTTAAACATGATCATAGACAGTTCATTTAACGCTTCACGAATCTGTCATATTAATGACATTTAAACTTAATTTATTACATGCAACACATTAGGATAAAATAAAGCTTGAACTACAAGGAACTAAGCCTTGGTCCGGTGATGAAAGTCCACCGAAGCATTTGATGTAAGCTTCATCGCTTGAGGTGACAAGCGACTTGAAATGTCATCTGATCGCGAGGGCAACGGGTGGTATGAAGCTGCATTGAATACTAAACAGCTGATGTCCAATTTCGTGTGAATTCCAAAGTGTTACACAAATCCCCATGACTTCAACTTTCTAATGGTATAGGTTCCCATTATGTCGAGCAATGTTCCCTTGCAGCTCCATCCTTTCGTGTCCACAAATCACCACTTTTGAGGTACAATCGAGCATGCTCATTCTGCCAAGATTTCAAAAAGCGCCATACAGCTCTTGCTCAGAAGTTGTTCGATCAAGGTTATGGTTTTATGGTCGGGTGGAGGGCATTTCCAAATTAGACGCATCAGTAATGAAATTGATGTCCGATGCAATTCCCTATTTTGACTTGTACCACGTGTTCCCTTATTTTTTCAGGGGCACAATTGACCTGCCCTTGCATGTGTTTGTGACGAATGTCACCGATGGGGCAGGAGACGCTTACCTTTCCGCGAACACTTGGTATCATCAGTGTTTGATAGTGATTCAGAAACATATACTCATGACGATAGTCGGAATCGTACAGTCGACTTGACTGTTTGGGGCAGAGATTTCTTATGGGTAACCAATATGGGAAGGGCTTTGTCGCCTTTATTTAGCTGTCGAAATAAGTTTCCTTTTATGTTTCAAAATGTGTTACTCTCATGCAACTTATGTTTTTAAATATGTTTCCCTTTTTTGCGAACAGCTGTTGTCACCACTGATTTTCAGTGACCCATTATAACTTTTTATTACTATTCTACCTTTTTGCGCCCAATCGAATCTGTTTCGACTGGTTATTCTCTGACGTTGAACTTTGAACATTGTTATGAGATCGTTATTTTTTTAGTTTTGATAGTATTAAGGATGAAATCAATGCACAAGATTAAAAAACTCAGAGGGTCTATTAAACGTAAAACATTATTTCACCGGTCAAAAAGTCATTACGCACATAAAATGATTTAAATGTCAATCTTAAATCACAAATTCAGTTAACGCTTTATAATAAACTTTTACATATTTATAATTTCCCCAACTTACATAGGTTTTTAAATGCTCTAAGTGACGGAAGAAAGTATCAATTTGATAAAAATTTATGGTCATGACATGACCTTTCAATTTGTGATGCTATCATAAGCATGGCAAATCAATAAAAAAACACACGCATGATCAATAATCAATATCACCCATGAAGATTCCGGGTCAGAGTTGGTCTTCGTAAGAGGCGATAAACGGAATCGGATGGTCAGGCTTGCTGACTTGGTTGATGCATGTCATCGTGTCCCAAATGCGTATATCGATGCTCATGATGTCAATCACTGGATTATCTGGCCCAGACTCGATTATTTACAGACCGCCGTCATACAGCAGGGTCATTGCTGAGCGTGGCGTTGAACAACAAACAAACAAACAAAACAATCAACATGGTCACTATCCTTCGTAACCATCCAAACAACATTAAAAATGTTTATTTTCTAAAATCACATGGCGAAAAGTGGTAATATATAAGATTGTGTATACGTCGTATGTTTGTTTGTTTGTTGTTTAATGCTGCACTCAGCAATAACCCATGCTTTCTGTAAAAGGCGACTATGCTTGTCATAAGAGGCGGCTAACGGGATCGGGTGGTCAGGCTCGCTGACATGGTTGATGCATTTTGGTGGGTGTGGGGGGATTGGCTGTGGTTCTCCAGCCATGTCTTAATCCTAAAGGTGTTGAGTTGGGTTCAGGTTAGGAATTGGATTTTGAATAAGCTGGTGCTAAAAAAAGCTGCCGTGTATGTGTATATATTACACACAGGGGCAAACATATCCGTGCAGTTAAATTCAGTAACTCTCACTGTGCACTTGCTTCTTGCTGATTGGCTAGATCACGACAATGGTTTCACCGTGTTCACTGTTTGCGAAGGGGCACATACCAATGTGATGTCATATCCAGCATAGACTGAGCCTATTGGTCATGACGCCACGTCCAGTTTAATGCGACCGTTACAATAGACTGACTGAGCTGCTGTCACCACCTGTGATCGAGAAACACACAATTTTCTCCATTTTGCTGACAATATAGACTATGGTTTATATCTAGAATAACCTACTCGCGACTATATTTTCCAAATATAGGTGTCAATTTAGCGCTGTGCTCAATTAATCCGCCCAACCGAAAATGAAAACAATGTAGATGTTTTCACTTTCGCGTTAAACCTCTCATCAACATGTAATATAGTACGGCTATATAGCGTTCCGTCTGTCCGTCCTTCAGTCCGTCCGTCCTTCCGTCCGAGTTTTTGTACGACCCATAACTTTTTAACCATGCACCCTAGCTTCACCAAACTTGCTTAACACATTAACCACAATAAGTACTTGTGGATTTTGCTAGTTTGAGGGTTCTAAACTTTTAAATTTTTGCCGTTTCCATGGAAACATTAGAAACTTAAACTTTTAGGGTGGGTGTTTTGTACGGCCCATATCTTTTTAACCATGCACCCTAGCTTCACCAAACGGGCAACACCCATTTACCACAATAAGTACTTGTGGATTTTGCTAGTTTGAGGGTTCTAAACTTTTAAATTTTTGCCGTTTCCATGGAAACATTAGAAACTTAAACTTTTAGGGTGGGAGTTTTGTACGGCCCATATCTTTTTAACCATGCACCCTAGCTTCACCAAACGGGCTACACCCATTTACCACAATGAGTACTTGTGCCTTTTGCTAGTTTGAAGATTCTGAACTTTTTAATTTTTGCCGTTTCCATGGAAACATTAGAAACTTAAACTTTTAGGGTGGGTGTTTTGTACGGCCCACATCTTTTTAACCATGCACCCTAGCTTCACCAAACGTGCTACACCCATTTGCCACAATGAGTACTTGTGCCTTTTGCTAGTTTGAAGATTCTGATTTATTAAATTTTTGCCGTTTCCATGGACACATTAAGAAACATCAAGAATGTATGATGTGCTAAGCATTGATTATCCCACACTAGATTGAAATATATTTGCAAAAACATGTGTTCATTTCAAACATAATGCATCCTCATGGGGTTACAAAGGAAAGGGCAGTTCCTCTGACTTAAAGCAACAGGTATATTTCATTAATTAACAAACTATTTACTATTTGTTGTTGACCAGCGGGGATAACGGGGGTATGTGAGCTTTGCTCACTTCTTTCTTGTTTATGTATATGCACTCCATATATTAACTTGAGACAGGATACGTTTGATTACCAATGTGTAGATAAATGAAGTGCGCTGGTTAGGCGTGTGATCAATTTCTGGCTCGTAACGCATAGGACCCGATTTCGATTCCAAACAAGGGTACAGTATGAGTTCAGGACATTTCTGATGTCATCTCGCGTTGATATGACTGAAGAGGTATAAAACACAACTCACTCACAGACAATGCACGATGCAGGATAAAATAAGGATGAAGAACTATTCTTCCGTAGCATAGAGGATACGCTGATAGAAAAACATATAAAATAGTATGAGAATGCAATGCATTTACTACATTCAAGCTTTTAAAATAATATTCAAAACGAAATGAGAATTACAGTCATTGTTACTTTTTACTTTCCTCTAGCTTTTCAACTGAAATGACGGAAAATATGTTTTTAAATTATGTTCCTGCTTTTTTTTAAATCACCGTTTAAACAAAGAACAGACACCAAGAACATATATGGCAGGCTCGTATGTTATCTAACCAATCATAATAGGATTAGAAGGAAGTAGTTGGACTACATACGCAAGGGAGTAGCTAGTGTGCGCTAATATTAGCGCCACGATTCAATGCGAAATGGCGTTGTTCTTCGCAGTGAGCGCCATGTACTTTGGAGGATTAATCTACACAACTTCTGGTCAGGGTGAGGTGTTTAACTTTTGCTTATGTTAAGGAAACAACTAAAAAGTAATCGGTATGTCGAGCCCTTGGGGTAAATACTAAACTTTAAAACATAATTACAAAGGTCATGTATCAAGTATCAGTTAAATATTATTTTCATTACTTTTGTTTCCATCAGGAAATAAATTGACGAAAACGAAGCTGTAACTGTGAATAATATGATTAACAATCAAGGGCGACGATGCAAATATACCGATGTGCTGACTTTGAAAGCTCTTTGCTTTGAACACTCTAGTTAGACGTATATTGTACAAGTGGGTGGGTGCGTTCGTACGTACGTGCGTGTCTCTGTTTCTTTACGGGACAATTCCACTTACATACTCAACAAAGCATTCTCAAGCAATGCCTCCACAGATACTATAGCGTCACCGCTTACCGACTACGAATGAATACTGACAGATTTATTCATGGCTAATGATAGGGACATAGTCGGTGTTACAAACAGGAAGCCAGTGGGTGGGGTGGTGATATTTACTTGAACTTCATAAAACTAGGATCACAATACATGTAGTGTGCTTGACGGTTAACATCAAGCAATACCTGTATATAAGCAGCGGAATCTCTGCGCATGTCCACAGCAGTCACAACTCAAAACTTACAAAATCAGTAAATGCGCTTTCAGGTGGCTTGATGTCTGGTCCGTCACTTGATTGTCTGGTTGTATACACGCGGCCGTGGCATGGCAGGAGTACTGCTGTGCGATGTCAGACAACAAACAAACACATTTTATGCAAAATGTGTATGTGGTGAGTGCTATTAATGGGACAGGACATGACTAGTACCCTTTTCGCGAACACCTGGTGTGTCATCCCTGGTTTTCAGTGATCCATTCCTATAAATGTCTCCGCTATTTGTACCTTTTACGCAAAGTGGTATCTGTTTCTGTATATAATTGTATATATTTTTTTGCGTTGAAGTTTTACATTAACTCGCTTTCTGTAGAGTTGAACATGTGAATATTTTTGCGTCACATATTCCATTCCAAGTCTGGTTTGGTGTTTGTTGTTTAAAACCGCCCTCAACAATACTCAAGCTGAAAGACAGCAGTCTTTAAATATTCGAGTCAGGGACTGACAGTCGAGTGAACGATGACCAAGTTACCAAGCCTGAGAACCCGAACCATTTAATCGCCTCCTACGACAAGCATTATTTGGTAGGGACCTTTTCTATACCTGAACTTCCAGGGTTTATTGTTCCACAGAAGTAGCCACATACAAATGCCAGTTAAAGCCATTGACGGCTTTTGCAAAATTGATGGCTGTAACACGTAACATATACCATAACGTTTCCCGAAATATTGTTAAGTTGATATGCCAGAAAGATTAAATATGTCTGGAACATTGAACAATTCGAAGAAATAATTAGTGAGCAGTATCCACAACTAATATGTCCATTCAGGGGGGCACGGGTGGCCCAGTCTCCTAAGGCGCAGATTTGCGTATCTTGGACACGCCAGATAGCTATGATTGTGTTCGAATCCCGGTTCGCCCCGATTATGTTTCTAGGTTTGTCAGCACCATACCTGTGCTCATGTGTTTCACGAAAGTGGTAAACGTCTGAGACCTGCATAACATCGGGTTTTCCCCCCACATTAAGCTGACACGGTGTGATATAACTGGAATACTGTTCAAATCTCACTCTGTCATATGTCCATTCACTCTGATCATTGCAATATGTATATCATCAGCTGTTATGAGGCATAAATGACGTGCCTGGGAATTAAACCTTCAAAACAACGTCCATTCAAACTGATATTACCGGGCATCGATTTACTTGTACTCAATAGGTGGTGAGGGGAAATTGGGTTTAACGTCGCGTCCAAGATTATTGCACCTATATAACGACGTACTTGTACTCAATAAGCTGCATACCTTAAAATACATCAATGTCTACAGGTATGTAATAGGTATCAGTATTTTTTAAATATCCACTCTTTTTTCAACGTCTACTAAAACAGCTTTGACTCTGAGTGAGGTGGGTTGAACGCCACTTTTAATATGACGTCAATCTGGAATGCAATGTCAAACACCAAAATGAGTGAGTGAGTAAATATTATGGTTTTACGCCGCTTTTAGCAATATTCCAGCAATATCACGGTGGGGGACACCAGAAATGGGCTTCACAAATTGTACCCATGTCGGGAATCGAACCCGGGTCTTCGGCGTGACGAGCGAACGCTTTAACCACTGGGCTACCCGACCGCCCCAACACCACAATGAAATTCATATATTCAAGGACAATCTATTAATTAATAGAATACATTATTATATATACGCTATCCATGTCCCCCATTTCAAACGACATTTTTAAAGGACAAAGTGTGACAAGGGCCCTGGATCTGTATAATTTAATATATGAGGAAGCTGTTTGAAATCGGAATCAAAGTTATCAGATGTGTTCATGTGAATGAGTGTAAGGCTTTTGTTCATCTATATAAAGCGACGAAACCTTCCCATGTCCAATAGAAATCTCTACATAAAGCAGAGTTGATAGTACGATTCTGACTATAAGAGGCAGGTTCAAAAGTTCTAAGCCTGATTAACTTTCACTTATGGGCCATAACAAAGAGAACTAGTCAATGTAGTACAATGAATGGTTCATTGCAAGTGTAATTGGTCTGTGTTAAGTGTTTGATGCTACTTGACTTCATCACTACAAACTTATGACAACTAGAAGTGGTTGGTCATTGAATTTACTTCTCAGCTTCTAGAACGCCATCAGACGACGCTCACAGTGACGTCATGCCTATATGCGTACAGTAAGGGAGGTAACTCTCAAGCCATCAATACGTAACATCTCCCCTTTTAAGGGTAACCTTTAAAGTCTTGAAACATTAATGCAATACTAATGGTAAAACAAGTCTTTGTTCTTAACAGCTCAGTTGCTGAAAACCGAAAGCATATTTGAAACACTTCCCAAACTTTCAACACAATAACAGTTATGAATTGATTTCGTCCTTAGTAAGGCACACAGTTCATAACATAAAAACTAAACAGTTCTTCGTCCTTTCAAAAAGGCTTACAGTCCATAACTTAATTTTACTGCAAAACAGCTTTACTTTAAAGTTCTTAATTTGTAAGATAACCTCTGAATCTAGACGGTTGTTTGATCACACGACCACGAGAAGTTCTCTTCTCAGTTGTCTCACTTGACTGTCTAGTTGTCTGTGCAGGAATCTGAACTCTCTCTGTAGTTTTGCTTGATGTTTGGTCTACAGGCTTGTCAGTACAGTTCCTCATAGGAGTTTCAGCGGAAGTTCTTTCAAAACACAGATCTGGTTCTAACCGGTTCCTTTCAGCCATATCTGTATCCACAAACAATGGAGTAGCTTCATGAGGCTTTCTCAAATGTCGTCTGTTTCTGTGCAAGTTACTGCCATCTTCTGTACGCAGTTCATACGACCTCACATCTACATGTTGTTCTATAACAGCTTCCTTACACTGTTTGTCGAACTTAGTAGGCTTGACTCTTACCACATCTCCCTCCTTCAGAGCAGGAAGTTCGTTGGTGCCTCTATTGAAGTAGTAAGCTTGTTTAGATTTTTTACAAGCTATCTTGTCTGACACACCATCAACGGTCTTTGGTTGTAAAAGTGTACTTGCTGTTGGGAGTTTGGTCTTTGTTCTCCTGCTAAAGAGTCGCTGTACCGGAGAAAATCCTATTCCCTCTGTCGGAACATTTCGCCAGTCCAGGAGAGCTAAGTAAGGATCAGTTTGGGCATGTAGTGACTTTGTCATCAGCTTCTTAGCTATCTTCACCGCGCTTTCAACTTTCCCGTTGGATTGTGGGTAACGAGGTGACGACGTAACATGCTCAAATTCATAGTTGTCTGAGAACTTACAAAAAGCTTCAGAGTTGAACGGTGCACCGTTATCGGAGATAATCTGATTTGGAATCCCATGTCTAGTTAGATGTGACTTGAGCTTCTTGTTGATTTCAGGAGCTTTCTTGCTGTGCAGTCTGTCAACTTCAAAGAAGTCGGAATAATAGTCCACAGTAATCAAAAAGTCTTTCTGATCAAACTCAAACAAATCGCATCCCAGTTTCTCACAGGGACGAGTAGGAATATGATGACTGATCAAAGGCTCCCTGCTTTGGTCTTGTTGTAGGGTGTTGCAGGTTTCACACTTGCTTACAAGATCTATTATCTCCTGTCCCATGTTCGGCCAGTAGACAAGTTCTTTTGCTCGTCGTATACACCCTTACACACCGATGTGGCTTGAGTGAATTCTCTCCATGATGTTGCCACGAATACTTGCAGGTACAACAACACGCTCGCCCTTGAATACTACGCCATTCTGCATAGAGAGTTCGTCCCGAAAGGTAAAGTACTCACGTACTGAGTGTGGTACATCTTCCTTTGACGGTGGCCAGCCTTGCTGTATGAGCTGCATCAGCTTGCTCATGCAAGTATCTTTACTTGTGGCTTGTTTCAGTTCAGCTAGTCTCTGTTGAGATATGGATAAATGCTTGACCATTTGAATTGTCTCAATGTCAATAGCTGTTGGGCTCCTCATGTCTATCATCAACACTTGGCCTTCGTCAGTGATCAATTGTCTGTCATGTGGTAAGTACGCACGACTTAATATTTCAGCCATGAACATCAGGCTTCCTTTCTTGTACACCACTGTAAAGTCGTACTTCTGCAACCGTAGCATCATGCGTTGCAGCCTTTTAGGTGCGCTCAGGAGGCTCTTTCTCAAGATGGACTCTAAAGGTTTGTTATCTGTCTCTATGGTCACCTTGCGTCCATACACATACTGGTCAAAACGTTCCAGTCCAAAGACTATTGCAAGCATTTCCTTTTCTTTCTGAGCATAATGTTGCTCTGTGCTTGTCATTGATCGGGATGCATATGCCACTGGTTGTCCATCTTGCATAAGACATGCTCCTAAGGCCACTTTGTGAAGCATCACATTGGAAATATGTGACAGCTTCATTATCAAAATATTTCAGAACAGG